TTATACAGTCATATGATGTATTCGGTATGAAATAGCCGAAAGATGACGTTCGGAGACTTTTGGCGGGGGTCTGTAGTATTTGGCAAATGACCTTGAAATGACCTTAAATGACCTCAAATGACATCATTTTTATTATAATTTCAAGTCAAAATTACCAAAGGTCATTTAAAAAATAGTAAATGACCTTATAATTTGCCATCATTGCTTTGAACCGCTTCGCACCATCCTCGATGTCCGTGGTCAGAATTAAGAAAGTCCGTAAGGTAATATATCTCGTCAGAAACTTCATGCAAAATCTGATCCTGTAAATTTTAATTTAGAGAAAGAAAGAATTCTGATCTTATCCGGAGATCCATGAATGAGGAATGACTGAAATTTGAAAAGAGTATGTCTAAGACATCCTTTCAGTTTGAGATAATGAAATAAAGTCCTTGAGAATATCACATACGAGCGTCCAGAGTTGTCACAGGACTGGTCCCACAGATTTTAATGTTCCGTCCCGTCCCATCATTATGTCCCCAAAAATAGTTCTAATTAATCGTCTATCATATATATTCTATTATAATAAAATTTGTTCCAAAATGTCCCGGACATAAAAATTGAAAATGTTTCCTGGGACTGTCCCGTCCCATGACAACACTGTGAATGTCTATACAGAAAACAAGATAAAACAAATATTTTTCTAATCACACTAATAACGCGATGGACGCGTTACAAAAAAAAAGTATAGACCTTGCTATCTACATCTTCCCCTCCCCGTCGATATTATTGTTGCTACTGCCATCCTCGTTCTCCTTATTATCAGTGTTACTGATCAGGTTTTCATCAGTTCGATTCTAAACAACGAAAAATAATTAACGTTGCTTCGGTCCTCATAAGAAAAATCAATAGAAATAATTAACTTACCACTCCACCGTCAAGGTCATCAACGAATTGGGCGTCTTATTATTTTGAAATCGACCTTTTGTTAGTATCTAAGTTTTTTCGGCTCAAATAAAAACATACGCATATTTTTTTTTCAATCATCATATAACGACCAATCGTCTTCAAGTCGTTATTGTCAAATTTCCTTTTCATTTCCAATAAATTCTCTGGAAGTAGGTTCCTCTCGCAACGCTTTTTCAACCCTACTTTATAGTTATTATTAGCAGATGACTTGCTTCGAAAATTAAACCTCTTGAAGAAGTCGAGCGGGCAAGGACTTGAGCAACTTCTCAAGAAGTTGGATTGTTTTTCGCGAAGCTCTCGTATTTTTGTCATTTCCGCTTCCAGAAAATTTAATAAACGCTCTTTGTATTAGCAAAGTATCTTGTAGTAGGAAAGTAGCAAACGTCACTCGTAATGTGCTTATGACGATCTACATAGTAAAATTTTTCACATGACCGATTATGTAATCTTCTATACGTGTGCAAAAAACTATGGTTACTCGCGGACCTTATATTTAATATGTAAGAATCCCTCTGCTAGGTATTAAGTTGAAGGTCGGGAAAAAACTACGGTAATTCATCATGGATAAGCTTCAACATTCTGCACTTTTTGTTTATACTGTACATTATTCAACATATTGTTTCGCAACTCTTTTAAGGGAGTATTTTTTTCGTTTGCTATCTATTTCTTAACTTTAAGATTTTTCAACGAAATAACTTTTTCTCCCAATCAAAAATTATTAGCGCATTGTTAAAAATATAAGCCGAAATCTTTATTGATTTTTCAGATATGTGAAAAGAAATTTGAAATATGAAAAATGGCCAGAAAAGCAAGCGAAATATACGATGCTATCGAGGGAGTACGCGGATCCTAGGCCATTTAATAGCGAGACTGGCAATCAAATAACTCATTAAATTTAATCAAAAAAAAAAAGGAAAGTATTATTTATATAAATCACGTTGAACATTTTAGAATCGTGAAACGAGAAGCTCATTTCGTTGGAGAGAAAATCATCTTCCGAGATCCATTAATATATTTAAATTTTAATGCCAATTATTGTGTACCTTTTGAATAAAGGAAATGATTTCGCGAAACTTCGAAAAATTCTTTTCATTGTATAATGAATCATTTATGACAAGTTATAAAATTAATTTTATTAAAACGACAAGTGAACCATTAGAAAGATTTTTTTGATTTTTATCAAAAAATTCAAAAAAAAATACATTAGATTTAATAACAACTTTGATCTTAACATCCTCCTCCAAAAATAAAACGAACAAATAATTAGCTATTTACAGAAATAATAAAGACGAAATAAACATTAGCGTCGATCAGTAAGTTTGTAGCACCAAAGTAGGAAATTTGTTGAGAAATTTTTTCTTCTTTTCCTTCATTTCCTTGTTTCCGAAGGATCGTTCACATGATGGAACATTGATTCGTAGGATTAGGTTGTTTCGTTGCTTCAGAAGTAACGATGATAATTGGATCAGTAGTAATAACGTTGATTTTAGTGTGATTCATTTTTGATTTTATTCACGTGTTCTGTTAAGTGAAATTTTTGTTTGATTCGTTTTAGTTGTGAACGTTAATTGTTATTTTCGTTGCTTGATGAAAAATTGGAAAAAGCGAAGTGAGTTTATTTATAATAAATCGAGAAGATTAAGAGAAAAATATATTTTAACATTTTGCATTGTCTTTATTATATTTCTTGTTTTCCCGATTTATAAACTTTTTCCTTGTGCATGTGTTTTACAATTGTTTTTAAAAAGGGTCTATTGTGATAATCAATTAGTATTGTTAATACGGTGAAAACGGCTGACAGAATAAATAAAATTCGGGCTTTTTGATTGTTTTTTTAAAAAAAAAATCCCATACAATTCCATATTAAGAAATCGAATTTATACAAAATGTCGATCAAATTGAATTCAAAAGGGGCAAATAATGCAAATCAAAATAAATCAAACAAAATAAATACCAATTTCTAATCAAAAATTCAAGGAACAATCTTTAATCAAAAAAATGCACTCAAAAAAAATTTATTTTTATTTTTATTTTTTTTTTTTTTTTTTTTTTTCTTTACTACGGACATATGGGACCTTTGCAATAGAAAAGGGGGAAACGGCCGGAAAAATAAAATTTACTTTTATATGCCAAATATGATTTTTAGGTCAAAAATATGTTCAGATTTAGCATTAACTCATTTTTATTTTTCCGGCCGTTTTCCCCTTTTCTATTGCAAAGGTCCCATATGATCTATTTCGATTCACAAGTCTTGAATTAAGACGTGTTTTTTTTTTCATTATACTAAAAATAATTCCATTTCCATTTTGCTACATGGAACAATTATAATTTTTACAAATTTCCTCCCTCACTTCGTCATATTTGGTCTGCTAATTCTCGTTTCAAACTTTTTTTAAATCTTGTTTGTAAGCAAAAAAAAAAAATTAAAAACAAGAAGATTCGCTCGATCAGCACTTAATTCTTCCAAATTTTATTCGTGATAATTAAATACTCTACCCAATAAAACTTATGTTGTTTAAATTCTTTATCACGTGAATATTACCGCGACAAAGATGTTGAATATTACTTCCCATTCAAAAAATCTGCTGGTCGTCAAAAATATCGCTCTTAACGGCTCATCGCTACACATTGACTCAAATAGGCCATAATGCCTTCATGTCCTTTACATTTTTTTTTTTTGTTAAAAATTCGGATCAGATACTAATAATAACCTGTTATTGTTTTTCGTCACGATTTATAAGTTTTACTTATTATAAATACATCTGCTTCGCGCCATCTTCACAAATAAAAGGTTCATCATCACACTGCTAAATTAGTCATAAAAGACACTTTAAAAGGAATGAAGTCAATTGAAAGAGTATAATTAATATGAATAACCTTGCTTACATATATTTTATGTAAAGATTATCATACAATTAAAGCATCCAAGTGTAAGATTTTTTTTTTTACTAAGATTGCACGTTCACAAAGAGACATTCGAAACTCGCAAATTTTGTCTTTAGCTGAAATCAAAAAAAAAAAAAAAAAAATTTGAACGAAAATTAGCAATCTTCTTAGACTCTTTAAAATTTGAGGAATTTAAGCGCACTGCATAATATTATTAAATTAAAAGGTTTTTATTTTTTGCGTATTTTGCAAAAATTTATATTTTATTTCTTGACATAATGATTGCTAATATTTTACATTGTATATTTATGATCTTTTTCTTACTATGAATATTTTCGTTTTGTAAAGTTCTCCCTTCTAACATTCCTGTAAAGATAGCATCTGCTAGATAATTTAACCAAAAAAAAAAAAATATAAATTACATTTATCAAAAGAGTATTATGTCATAAAGAAATAATATCCATCAGATTATGAACAACATTTATGTGATTATTATTCTTTCTTAAATGCAATTCTAATTGAATCTACTCTTAATCAGATAAGGAAAAACAAATTTATTACATATCTATGATTAAACCCTTTTGATAGACGCCTTTATTATGAAGAATAGTTAAACTCGTTGATTGATACTCCGCTTTCTTGATCTAAGTGAGGAGGATTATCATTTGTTGATGAACTAAAAAGTAATCCAATTTGTGTAACATTTTTGATACCTTCTTTCCCTACCCTTGAATTTGACGAATCAATAAAAGAGGAGCTAAAATCTGTTGTTAATTCATTTCGTTGTAAATCGTATGATGTAGTTTTTAATTCTTTGATGGGTTCGTTAATTGCAACTCGTTGATCTCCTTCTGAAATGCGAACTTTCTTTGTAGTTACAGGAATACTTTGTTTTGATGCAGCTCGTCTCTTTTGTTTACAATTACGGAAAGGATCTCTACAAGTTTCCTTGTATAACATTGTCGAGTCAAATATCTTGTCTCCTTAAGAAATAAAAAAAATTTTTTAGACTTTTGATTCAACAAAAAGAAACCTTTATTTTAGGATACCCACCTGATATTTCATATAATCTTTGAATTTCGGCAAAAGCTTCATCAACCGTTCCTCTCCTTATCAAAATATTTTGTTGAGTTTCATTAATTTCTCTACAATTAAAATATTCTATTAACTTAATTTTGGTTTCATTAATAAGGGAATCAAAATCACCACCATATGCTTCCGAATAAAGTTTAGCAGCGTGAACATGTTTGCAAGTATCACGAAATCTTCCATTCCAAATAAAATCATAACACAATAAACATTCTCCTGTTTTAATGTTTGCCATATAATATCCTTCTTGCACGTTGGCTCCATACCCTGCAATAAATCTATTCATCATGACATTTAATTTTTCCATAACATTCTCATCTAATGAAATTAATTTACCATCATATGATGATGTTAAGGTAAGAGATGATTCACCATGTCTTTTAACATAATAACAGTTTGGATCATATGTTGGTTTAACTAATCCTGATAAGAAATAAAATCTTCCAAGGTTTAAATTACGAACCATATCAGCTGGTTTTTGTGTCTTGGAATAATAATCATGATGATCAAATGATTGAGAATTGAAGAAAGCTATTAATCCAGCGTTATCTTGATTATCACCGCTGGTCAAATTATCTGCGTGTAAAACATCTCTGCATAATTTAATTCCAAAAAGCCTTTCAAGGAATGCTAAAGGTGTTAATTTACCATCAAGTTGAGCCACTACTCTTTTCGTGATCCGTTCGGTAAGGTTATTTGTGGTCATTGGTTTCCTCAACTTATCAGAATCCTGTTCAGGGTATTGTCTACAACTATCAACTATCATGGCACGCCATTCATCGCTCATCCAATTTATATCCAAGTCCTCCTTGATCGAATTCTTTTGTGCGCAGGTTAATTGAAGCGAGTCAATAAACTCTTTAAATATTAATGCCATGTCAGCCGACTCTTCTTCCGTTCGACTCCTTCCAATTAACTTAAATCCCAACGCGATTGGATATCTAATAAATAAAAAAATTAATAGAAAATTTTAATTAAGCAAACTTATCACATCCTTTTTTGTTTTTCCTATAGAAAGTAAATTCTTTACATTACACACTTTTTTACCTTAATGCACGAGATACATCCCACGCCTTAAATTTTTCGGCCAACTTTTGCATTAGAAAAGTCCAAGAAAGACAAGTTCTAGCGACCACACCATCAAGAACTTTCTTTGTTGGAAGGTGTTGATCGATCATTGCAATTGGATTCCATGGTTGCTCTTGCGAACATTTACGTATCCTTTTGAAACCTCTTTCATTAGGTAAATCCTCATAATACCATGAATGTTCACAATCTTCAAGATTGCATGGAAGATTCTTCCTGATAGCCGTAATCGCACAACGTACGGGTGCCTTATCATCTCCGTTGCTCAACGCTATGGTCAGGTTAATAGATTTTTTTTTTTAAAAAAAAAAAAAAAAGATAAATATAATTTGAGATAATATACAGTCAACCTCACACACTATATAGTTTCTCTCTAAATGCACGCCCTCGTTCAGTCCCAAGCATATAGAGATCATATAGAAATTTTCTCTTTAAATGCATACCTCTTAAATGCACATTTCTTAAAATTTTCACTATGGTCCCAAGGGTGGGTGCATTTAGAGAGGTTTGACTGTATATATATTATATAAATAAAATAATTACCAAATGCCAAGGGAATGGGATGACCGAGATCTGTTTCGACAACCATGGTTAAAACAGTTGCCTTATCCATGTTCAATTCATTATTCCCATCAATGCAGAAACAATAATGACCATAATTTCGACCATTCATTAACCATAAATCATCGGAAACGATTAATTGATAATAACGTTCGGGGGAATCTTCAGGAGCGGATAGATCAGGAACATGGTAATATAAAACATGACCACGAGGTTTCAATACATCTTGAATATAATTTTGAAGTAGAGTCCAATGACCCGAATTGTCTCTAACCCTACGATCATCACGTATGATAAGTCTCTTAAGTTGTTTGCTATTACAAATATCTCTATTCTTTACAACTTCTTGATGAAGATCAGCTTCGGTCGCACCTTGTTTTGAAACCAAAATTTTATTCTTGACATCATCAGCAGTCCAACGATCAGCTCTACGACTAATTATAATTTTATCACGAGTGGAACGTGTGAGATTAACTCTCGTAACTTGAGGTTCATGAGTTAAAAGAACGTTAGGAGGTAAATGCCAACCCTCAATTTTGATTTTTAATTGATGAGAGGTTTTAATCCAAGATAATCTTGATTCGGTAACTACACGAAGTCTACACCGATGTCTATCATTACTATTTTTTAAGTTATTGGGTAAATTCACATTTGGACAATCAGGATTACATGTCCCGATTCCTCCACATAAATGTTGACAACTATTCCCATCACCAGCACAATACATTACCCAACTCCAACATAATTTATCTTTTTGTTGTCCTTCTTGAATTTTTTCAACCAACTGTTCTCCCTTCTCGGTTAATTCAATAATATCATCGATTCTATTTGTTGATTTTGTCTTACCGCTTGATGTTGTCCATTCAACGTAATCAACAGCACCTTCAACTCTTCTAAGTGTAATAATTCCATTTTTCACAAGTTGTGGTACCCTTAATCTACTTCTCGCTTTTAATCTGATATTCTTTAATAAAGGATGTTTCGATATATAATATTCCGCAGCACGACCAAATGGTACATTAACGGATTGACCATCTTCATTGTATTTAATAAGATGATCGTAACTTTCCATCTCCCTAATCATATATATATATAAAAATATTGTATCAAAAAAGATACTTCAAATTATGTGTAACCTCCAATCAACGTAAATGTTTGGAGGAAAAAGCGAGATTAAAAAAGAAATCGTGAAAAAAATAAATCTGCTTATAAACGATAAATTCTTGATGTAAATCCTGTATGGCATTATATTATGTGGGGGATTGCTGCGCAAATTGCCAATCCATTACTATATACGAATGATATTAACTGAAGGGGGAAAAAATTTTTTTTTTTTTTTTTTGATTCACATGTCGCATTCATTTTCTTCGAATTTTTAATTATGGAAAATACCTTCGTAAAAATGGATCTTCATGCTTTACAATTTTAGGGAATCATGCAAAAATTTATTGTGTCGTGCATAAAAGTTTCAAATTCTGATGTTACGCGAACATGAATTCAGACTTAATAATGAGATTAATTTAACTTAAAAGTTAAAAAGTATCTCATTTATTAGTTAATGTATTTTATGGTATAAACATAAGGATTTTCATATTGTCTCGTCATTTAATACAATCTGTTATTATTTTAAACGGGATGTAACCTAATTTGTACAAGATCTTCAACCGGGCTCGGACCGATCAGGTGATTTTGAGATTTTTGTGCTTAGTCATATTCCCACAGGTATTTGATCCATAAGATAATAGTATGAGCGCAAAATTAAATTTTTTAAAAAACTTTCGCATTTTTCGTTTATTGTTCTTATTAAATACTATGGAATATGGCATTCATTTTAATAATGACAGAGAAAAAGAAAGCTAATGTCTTCAATTAGATACTTTTGAAAATTTTATTTTTTTTCGCAATGATGTCAAAATTTGATTCACGAAATCACGTGATTGGCCGAGCCTCGGGAACTACACATTTGGCCAGAGCTAGCGAAAATTTTGTTATCTTAAACTAGCAAGTTCTGGGTATCCACTGATGGTCACATGAATTATATGAGTGTGACAACCATGACGTTGATACCAAATGATAGTAGTGTAGATAATGTAAATCAGAATCATATCAGATATATTTTAGCAATGAAATAATTAAATGCATTATGTTATATTTGAATAAATAATATGATATAAAATATAAATATATAAATAAAAGTATTTTTAATTTTAAAAATATGTTTTATGCAATAGAAAGTTTTTTTTATTTTTTTTTTTTGATGAAAAGTATAATTTTTTTATGAGAAATGATGATAAATATTTAGCAGAAGTATTATAGGATATAATTAGTTCAATATTCAATATAAGAGTGTTATAAATTATAATTTAAATAAATTAAGCAAATAGTTCACAAACCTAATAATGATAAATGTGTTATAAAAATAAATAAAAATTTATCATAGATATGACTTCCAATTATTGGTATTCTAAAACTACTTATGATCAATCATAAAAATAGATTTATCAAAATAAAATATAGTATATTGATACTATTTTAGTTAGAATATCTACTTAGTATCATATAAGCCTAATCAGTCAAGAATATACTTCTATTCAAAGTAAGAGTGACTTTAGACAAGATTAATCTCTAAATTTATAAATAATAAATGTAAAATAATTTTGTATTAGAAATTGGATTTACCAACAGTTATTTTCATTGATTACAAATAATAGTATATTTCTGAACATCTAAGTCTATAATAGATCTTTAGATAAAAAAAGCAACATATGTAGATTATTTTATTAAATTCACATCAATAATTATTATTAAATATTTTTTGATCAATAAACAAATTATAAAATACATAATATGTGTATTAAATTATAACTTGACATAGAATAATAAGTTAATTTTTATTTAAATATCTTATTTTATAGGGATTAGTCTTATAATACAAAGCTTACAAAATTAAAAATCTAAAAAAATAGAAATTTATTATCAAGAACTGAAATAATATTATAAACTTTTATATTAATTATTTAGATATTTTCTTTAAATCTAATAATATGTATAGTATTAAAAGATGTTTTGACTGAGATTTGATTAAGAATTTAAAATAATATAATTATAAAATGTTTAAATTAATGAAAATATTATCTATTTATATTTTTTAAAATCTAATAAAATCTCAGATCATTATTTTGACATTATAGAATTCTTAAAAATAGAATAAAATATGAGTTGATTAGTTATAGGTAGAAATTATATCAGATTATCTATTATTATAATGTTTATACTACTAAAAGTAATAGCATTATTATGAAGACTTGTAAAAATATTCAAGATAAATCCAGCAACTCAGTAAAAATCATAGGTATTTCTTTAATAATTAAAGTATTGATCATTATCTATATAAGTAAATATATAGAAATCTTTTTATATAGTTATAACTTATAGCTTAAAATGGATTATTTTATCATTTATTTTTTAAGTAACTCTTCTGTTAGTACTAAAAATAGTACTGTTAATATTGTATATAATATCTTAAGTATTATATAAGAAACTTATTTTAAAGATTAAGTAATATCTAAAGTACTTATTAGATATTAAATACTATAAATTATAAATACTATAAGTAAAAATATTATATACAAAAGCAGAACTGCGCAAATATAATTTCAAACTCAAAGTATTTAGGAAGCCCTTAACACCTGTATTGATAACTTTAATATAATCCATTTCAAATGATTGATTTGGTCTTTAATTGAAGAAAAACTACTATTATATTAAATAAATGTGTTAATAATTCGTCTTTATCCTGAGATTTACTTTTTGAGGAACCTAATGTTAAAAAATAAGTCACTAGACATTTTTAATAAATTGCAAGCTCTACGCATTGTACTAAAGAAATTCCAGAGGATTAGATTTTTGTATATGCTTCAATAAATTTGATTAATTTACAAATTTATAACAATTTAATATTCTTACCTTCTACAAACGAATAGTATAGAATTATTAATCAACTTCCAAATGATAAAGCTCAGGACCATCCAAAATTTTGAATAAAATGTTAAAACATTTAAGATCGCTTGTAAAAAAATATTTATGACATATTATCGGTGACTGCTTATAAATTTCCTCAATACTCAACCGCTAAAATTTAGCATATGTTTATCTGATCTTAAAATTAAATTATGAGAATATGATTTAAATATACATATCTAATTACTTTATTAGAATACACTCGAAAAGCATTTGTTCAACTATTTAATTCAAGATTTGCTGATATTTTCGTCTAACATGATATTCTAAAAGGATACAACTTCACTGATTTTTCTTTCAAATTCACTTTTGATCCTATTCATATCTTTAACAACATCAAACAAAATGCTTTTATAATAATATAAAATTGTAGATCCTTTATAAAATATGTCTAAAGCCTACAACCATATAAATATTTTTATTCTTATAGTAATTCTTGCAAGATTACACCTTCCTACTAAATTTATTCACACTATTTTGCACCTATTTTTGCCCAGATTTAACCAGATTTTTACCGCTCATAGAAATTCCAATACATACCTTATTCACTCAAAAATAGATCAAAATAAAGTTATATTACCGCTTTTGTGGTATATTTACTATGATCTACTTTTATGTACTATTAACGATTCTTCACATAGCATCTAGATATCTGTCTTTAAATATCTAATATTTTTCATTTAAATATTTCAGCTCTTACCTATATAGATAATACTCTCTAACTTGTTAATTCTAAGAATAGCCTAACAAATATTATATCTATTGCAAACAGTTTCTTCGCTTTTAATAATATATAAGTTAATTAATCAAAATCAAAACTCCTTGTCAACAGTTCACAATAGCTTCCTTTTAAAATCTGTTATAATAATAATATATGATTTATTAATGCTCTTTTCTGAAAGTTAGTATCAGATACTTAGGAGTTTGGATCTCGTTCAAGTCTAACAAAAAGTTTATTTACAATCAGATATATAGTAAAATTAAGAAAGCCATTACTATTATGAAGCATAAACGTCTTACAGATTCATAGCTGATTTATATCTTTAATACTGTTCTCCTTCTAAGATTAGAATACAGGTCTCAATTCACATTGTCATTTGAATCACAATATAAAAGCTTTATTACCACCTATTTAGCTTTTATTAAAAGAAAATTAAACTTTTCAAATACACTCTAATAGACTTATTCCATTCACATTATTTTTACAATTTAACTTCACTGTATCAATGACTTGTATAAAATTTTAGTAATGCTTTTTTATAAATTTCTAATAAAGCTAATATACTTGAAAAATCCTTTTATTTATAAATCCTTCAACTTTAACAAAAAGAGTGACTTTTCAAAAATCCTCTTTTTTATTGGTTCTTTCTAAAATATCAAGATCAGATGATTGGCTTTCAACCCTTCTCTATGCTTTCAATCAAATGAACCTTAAATTTAATGCGTTACCAGCTTTATCTAACAAAATCACAGGAGAAATTCACTGATTTCAGTATTTATTTTAAATATATTAGGAAGCATGCTCTTAGTCTAAGAAAATTCTCAATATTCTTTATGAAACAATTGACCAGCTTAGAGTTCCGGACGAGTCGAGTTAACTCACGAGTCGGATAAGCCGAGTCGAGTTCAAATCAAGTCGAGTTGGTGTTTTTTTTGACTCGATGATTTGCGAGTCAAGCCAAATTC